TCTATGAAGGAGAGGTTATAAAGCACCGGATCTTTACTCCGACTCATGGAAGTTGGCTAGACATTCCAAGGTAGTTGGGTGTTTATGAACTCAGATTAGTGATGGGAAGCAACTGGCAGTATATGAAATCTACTTAAGTATACACAAGTTCCCCTCTACTTTGGCAATCAACTATCTCTCAAGATCAGGTGTTAATTGAATAAATCTGTGGCTTAACGATATTAAGTTTTACCATTTTGTTGCTTCAAACTCTACTACTAAGATGTTGAAATTTTGTTACATTTGTTCCCAGAAGAATTCATCTCGGTACGGTTGCAACCTCAGGATTTATCTTCCCTGAGAGAGCCCTTGTTACAATAATATTTCTTGTAGTATGTATCTTTTCACCATCCTGCTGGAAGATAGGATTTCCAACTATGTCCTCCTTCTCCTGCCAGACATCCACTAAGCCATCTTCCAATTCTCTATTATATACAAATCTATTTACACTCTTGTCAAAAATAGGAATTAGAGGACCCTTATTTTTACCCTAAGTTCAAACCTATACTATCAACTTTATCCTTGGTTCTTTGGTAACACCTTGAATACAGTCCTTATGCTACCTTTCCTCAAGGATTTGGAAGACCCAAATACCCTTAGGATCTTTGGAGATTTCGACTGTGCATTTATTACTGAAGATGACCTCCTCATAATCATCTTTTGTCTAATTCTGATACTCTTTTGCCCAAGCCAAACTCTTGATAACATGCTCATCCTTCAGAAATGCCCTTTTCCTAGCTCTTTACCTCTTTATATTGACTGATGCTAAAGCTCTCTTGACTGTCATAACAGTCATGTATAATAATCTCATTATACAATTCTGATAATGGCTCGTACCATGTCTCCTTGGACTCTCTGACTAGCAGTAATTGGTTCTGAGATCAATAATTTTTGGTCTTCCCGTAATTGGGAGGTTTTTTGAATCACCCCTCTTTTAATAGCGGTTGTAAAAAAGTTGTACTGTACTTTTATGGTGAAGTAAGAGCTGTCCACTTTTAGAAAAATTAAGATTTTTTTCCCGTAGATCAACAATTTTCTCCTTCTCAAAGTCTGTAGAGCAGCCTGTAGTTTCTGGAGGCATGGTTATCGAGTGGTGGTTTATTGAGGAGATTGGGTTTTTTATACTATTGCTCGGGTAACTGCCCATCAGACGAACCCTTTTATCCTATTACTTTAGCTCAAAACTCTTAACTAGTTCTTGATAGTATTTCTTTATTACAATACTATATGTATTTTAAAATAGTTATAAAGGAGAAAATTATGATTTTATATTATAAAATTATATATTATTAGCCTAATAGACTAAAGCTATATTAATCATATTTTGTAATTCACTTTTATTGGTACTAGCGAGATTGAATATTAATGTACAGTACATCTAAGTTCCTCAGGCCGTTTCTGAAAGGTGATTGACATATCAAATTCCCAACTGCTGGGCTAATTCATTTTCTCTTTCTCAGTTTCAGCTCTGGACTTAATATATATTTACGGCCTCCTCTGGGTAGTGGTGCTCGTGCCAAGGCTGTGACTGGACATCACGACCTTGGCACGAGTATTTCAATTTTCTGTCCACAATTTGCTATTGCCATCCTGGTGAGAACATAATTACCAGTACTTTTCTCCCATGGAAATACCTCAACAATATTTTCTTCGCTCCCCCCGATTCCACCCTAATCTATAGTTGGTAACCTGAAACCATGTTGAATAAGATTAAGATAATAAACAAGGTCTTGGTCCTCGAAACGGCTGGTATTATCATTATATACTCAAAGGATATTGAACCAAGCCTATTGTAGCAAAAGATACCAACACCCCTTTACCCACCTAACATAAAACGCTGATGCGAGGGGAGAGAATCAGTCGCAGGGATTACCTCCTGGATGCACCTAAGAAATGAGGAGTTAAAGAGATAGCGGCGAAAGGTTTGTATGCAATCCTCAGAGTAATGCTAAGAGAGATAGCGTATCCTTCACTACTCCGACAATGTTAAACCGGTAAGTTCCTAACCCCAACTCCCTAGGTTTCATGTAAAAAAAACCGCCTTTTGGGACCAGTTGAAGTTTTCACAAAGTCTCTTTGATATCACCTCCTAGACTGAAGGTTTAGTCCTCGTGGGAGGGACAACACCTTTCATAACTACCTCAAACAATGTGTCCGGGTCATGGAATTCCACCTATTGGGACCGGTTACAATTCTCGTCAGAAATACTGGGAAAGAGAAAGGATTTTTCAGGAATATTCTTTACTCACGCATCCGTAACGCCTTCCGAGACTGGGGGGTGCTTCGTCCTTCGCGTGTACAACTATGAAACGCCGATAGAGCGCGCAGTTGACTGCCTGATGGTGGGCAAAGGCGTCGGCAATTAGTTCTAACTCGTTAACCTAGTGGGGGGGCAATCAGCGCAACGTCTTCGCCTGCGGTTCAATTAGAAGGCGGCTTACGTCTTCTCTTGAAGAGACCAGGAGTGTATCTCCCGCGGAATCCTGCATCCGGTAAACGGCCTCGAGTATGGCTTGCGGATTCTCAAAAGCCCCTGGTTTAGATGTAATCCGCTTCTCGACTTCTGTCACCATTGTCGAAGCCATACAAAGTGTGGTACTTCCTGCCTTGGCGGCCTGTTTTCATTAGTTAGCTTTGCGGAAATATCGGGATCCCGGATGTGCCGACCTGATAGTCTAGAAGGCGTTTCAGCATAGGTGGATTATTTAGAGCAAAGTTTGGAGTCGCCAACATTAACGTCCCGAAAGACCAGAACCTGATTGGACGAGCATCTAGTGTCATAGTTCCTCCGTTGTCTACAAATCTCGTCCCGAAAAAAAAAAACAGATGTTCCCGAGCCTGTAGGAGCTTGAGGTTTGGGAGTAGGTGCAAGGAGAATTGAACTGTGTAATGAACCTAATCGATGAAGATTAGTGTGCAAGAAACGTGTCAGAAGGTGAGCAAATCGATTGAAGGTAGGTTTTACCAGGATAATCATCTTCTTCCCACGGTTGAGATAGGCGAGAAGCTCCTCCGAATCCAATGCTTTGAGCCCTAGCGTTTTCAAATTACTCTCCATTTCTAGTTTCTCGTAAAATCGGTCATCTGGGCAATATATCACAAAGTTGCGAACTCCCTCAGGGTTGGACTCGGTTGGTGCGATCAGTGTCTCAAACGAAAGACTAAGGAGCCTCTCGCCAAGTGTGTGGAGGTACTGGGTCACATGGCCTCCAATTTCACGCCGCTCTGCAGATACAAGCTCGCGAGACGGTTCCGGGATCCGCCAGTCAGAATAGGCGACGGCTCTAAGCGGAGTCTTCTGCTGTTGTAGAGGGGCTTTGAATGATGTTGTGATTTTATCACTTGAGGGTTGAAATACCGCAATAGTGAATGCAGCCTCTCTGATTATCCCAAGACCATGGAACTTGGCTAGAGTGATAATTAGAGGTTGTGCCTTATCAGCATTATGAATGGTAATGTCGGCAAATTCTTGCGGGTAACCAATCTCCTGAATCGAAATTTCTTGTGTTAGCGCATTCCACTCACAGATTTACTCACCAATGTTGGAAATAGCAAACGGCATAGTTGGGTGTAAACATACGGTGATGACAGCGCCAGCAACGTGACTATCAGCAAGGAGTTTGGTCACGCAAAGCTCTCTCACCCCCAATCGGTCCAAATAGTCTAGAAACTGGGCACTGAAACCCAAGAACTGAACAACCCCAAGCGATTCTAGCTCACCACCCCGTTGAATTTTCATCTCGCACTCAAACAACTTTTTATTCGAGTTACGACGCAAACTATTTCTCCCCAAGCCCTGCTCAATATCGGCAGTAGGAATGGAGGTAATCCTGTCCTCATGAACAGGGCTCATTGTCAAGTCGCCATCATGGAATTGACCAACTTCTTTTTCTCTGCGACTTATCCCCGAAGGCCCCCGAGGAAGGACTTGCCCCCTATCCTCGGTGCTCTGCGCAGTTATTCTAAGGGAGTCCAGGTCCTTCGGGGACAGTGTGCTAGTTTCTAGGGAGGTTTTCTTCGAAAATGGGACTGGATTACTTGCCTCAAATAAGTCAAGCGAGTTGAGATCCGGTTCTCGCTCGTTACGAGCCTTCTTATTGATCCTATTGATTGTAGAAAGATTCATGTTTTTGGGAATGCTACCGGATCCTGTGGTAGCAGGCCCCGGACGACCGGGGGCCGAAGCACTTGATATACGCCTTTTCGGTGGGCCTGGTTTTTGTGAAGCCGGTTTAGAAGGTAAGAGCTTGGTGGGTCCGAGCTTTAAAGAATCGGGTTTGCCAGTCCCTGGTCTTGGGAATCCGACCCGTGGAGGTGGCCCCGGCTTTGATGGCCCGAGCTTTGTCGGTCCAGGCTTCAGTAACGATGATTCACTTGACATGTGTCCCAAATTTGATACACCAGGTCGTGGGGTTTGTGAGGCTGATCCAAAGGAAGGCTTTGCGCCTTTCACCGCAATCGGCCCCAGAGAAGCCATTCCAGTCATATTTCCCACTCGGCGCTTTGGCTTCTATGGCATATATTAGTTGCCGATACCTCCACAGTATCCTAGAATAGATTGATGTACCTTCTGGCTTGCGCCATCTAGTTCACTCTTGTCGCCACCCTCCCGTGTCCGCTTGGCTCTTGCCCGTGACCGTTTTGGGTGTTTTGATCCTAAGACCAAGGAATCGTCAGTACTAGAATCCTCTTCATCCTCGTCTCTCGTGACAACAGGTCTCCTCCCTCTACGGGACACGAGCGGTTCATCAGAATCTGTGATCTCATCGGAGACCTCATCATTATCAGGAGTATAGTTATCAGTTGGCTTGGGTTGGCGAGTCCTTCCGCTCTTGCCCAAGGCCGCCTTTCTCTGACGCTCCACCTTCTGACGCTTCTTAGCACGGCGTCGCTTTCTATCTTCTTGAGCCTCAGCTTCGGCCAACCTCTCTCGATCCCACTTCTGCCAGTCAAAATGTGGGAGCTCTCCGCGAGCTTTGATGGCATCCTGGCTGGCCTTCCACTCTTGGATGGTATCCTGGTCGTCGAACATTTCAAGCGGCTCCCAAGAGGCTCGGCTTATAGGATAGCCTTCCCATTTCACCAGGTACCTCATTTTACCCTCCGACTCTATCCATTTCTCCCCAAGTATATTCTCAACGATATAGGTATCGTCCGGGTCCTCCTCACTTGCAACGGTGGAGGTTAAACTGATAGAGTCGGTATCGCTATCGGACTCCGAGTCTTGCGGGCCATCATCAAATATGCGCCCCGGATGTTTATACGCCATCACCGGGCCCCAACGAGGAGCACGCTTTAATTTACGATCGATTGGAATTCTAGGGTAGGAAGAGCGTTCGAGGGACCAAAGTAGAAGGTTAGCGGGGTGTTGAAACGGGAGAATATATTCGGTGGGCAATTATTCTGATTTCTGTTGGGAGCGCGGCGGTAAAGGTGGGGGTAGAGGAAAACTAAGGCCGGGGAGCAAGAGGTAAGTGTTAGACAGTGGTGAGGAGAGGAGAGGTCAGATGTTGAGGAGGGTATAAAGATACACGTGACTGCCGCGTCAAGCACCAACTCAGCCCACCCTAAATCAGATTACGTAACCAATAACCAGCACTTTCATATATAACGTAAGCAACAAGGACGTTGGTCTCACGCTCAATGGTACAAGGGTCTACCATGAATTGATGGTACTAGGGTATATCATGAATTCATGGTACAGTACACCGCACTAGTAATGTCTCAGAAGATGTAGTACGCTTCAAATAAAACATCATTAGAATAATGATTTCTATTTGGACCAGGAAGATCAATCAAGCAAAACTATGATAAGAAATATTGATAAATTCATAAGCTCATAAAACTAAACACTCCTAAAGGCTGATTGTAGTGTGGTAAGTAACTCCTTAAATCCTGATTACATTTTATACACTCTAGGAACTATTGATTGTTATAAAACTCTGTTAAGGGGTTTGTACAATCCTTTGAAATTTTGTTACCCATATCTAGAGAATATATTGATCTACTATTTAATATTTTATTTCATTGCTAGGGATATTGTAGCCAAAAACACTATCAACTAAAGATGAGAGGAAATCTTGGTAAAGGTTTAGTTTAAGGAGTTCTGCACCATAACATATATTTTTCTATTGAAATGTTGCTTTTGTTGCAGTGTATTAAAGTACCGCCTTAAAACACCCAGCACCACCACTGCTCCATACCATGAATTCATGACCTATCCTAGTACAGAGCAGAGATCTAATATTTAATAGCAGTAGTACGGTGCTTATCAGGTATGTACTATCATTTTGTCCAAATCAGAACTATAGAATTCACCAAAATGAGAACTAAAAAACTAAATATCTCATGATTATAGCTAAATACTACTGATTTTCCTTTATTTCCTCTGTTTCCTTTTCACATCATCTTATTCATACTAGTAGAGAGTAAAGAAAAAGATAATTCAGTCTTTATCTAATACTACTGGTAATCCAGACTGTTCTACTGGTAGCCTACACCATTGCATCTACTAACCTATCTGAAACAAAGCTTAATATAAGATAAATCAAAAGTAGCCTAATAATACTAAACTGAAAAAAAAAAGTAGCAGAAAAATAGCCCAGAAAATAAAAATATGTAGAAAGATCATTGGCATATAGGCAAAATATGAAAAATCGAATAGTAAGAGAAATGTACTATAAGAGAAAGAAGAATAGAAGCAGAAGACAAAAACAAAGAAAGAGAAAGAGTAGGCTTATTAGGCAAGATAAGAGAGAGAGTATGAGAGAGAGAGGAGAAGAGTGAGTGAGAGAAGGAGAAAATGAAAGAGAGAGAAAAAGCTAGTATGTGGACAGGAGAAAAAAAGAGAGAGAGTACGACTAAAAGAGAAAAAATTATAGTGAGTAGGAATGAGCTGGATTGAGAGAGTGGGAGCAACAAGGAGTAGATAAAAAAGAGTAGTGTTAAAAATATTCAATATGGAGGTAATGATTGACCATGAGGATTTATACAGTAGAGAGGAATAACCTAAGTGAAGAGATAAAGTTTGTACTGAGCAGAGATCAAAAGCAGGAGTGATAGTGGCAAATTGATGAAAGGAAAAAATTAAGAGAAGAAGTGAGATAAAGGAAGAGGGCTAAGCGAGAAAGGAGAGGAAAGAAAGAAAAAGAAAAGATTGGAAATATTTGCATAGCTTGCACATCCTTGGACTAGCACATAAGTGAACCAGTGCAACCTTGAGGTACAAGCATATCCAGAATCAATTGCAGCCTCAATACTACAATTTCTAAGACGCAGAAGGAGAAAGTATGTATGAGTGAGTATGTGTTAGGAATACCAGAACCCGATACCTAGGAACCACGCTAAGTAGGGTAACCCCACTCGGAATGGGAATCTCTGGTCTCCAACACCCCCCTCCGGCTCCCTTACGGGGCCCGCGCATCATCATATATATTAATCTCAGTTGCGTCCTGTGACTATATTACCACAGAATTGAAGATGTTAGAATAACATCATATACGTTGTCGCTGTCCTTCTGACCGGACCCTGTTCGCAGGATATATGGGAGGAGACCTTAGACTAGGCTTGGGAAGTGGAACAGAGTAATTCTATCAACTACTCAGAGAGTTACTTGGCTTCAGAGACATAAAGCCTTTGGCACAGGCCTAAGTAACAGGACGATTTCGCACAAAGAGATGGTATCAAATGGTAAAGGATCTCTACTAGAGACCAATACATTTAAATCTACCAGAAAAGTCTAGAACTCCAAAGAATACTACTAAAAAAGCCAACAAACTTCACGGAGTGTTGCAACTGGGTTTTGGAACATGTTATAGCCATTGGGTGATTCTCAATACTACAATGGTTACTGAAACCTACTACCCAGAGAGCAATCAAGAATTGCCGACCAAGGGATTAATTACCAATCCGGTGGAATAGCTTCCTGTGAGTTAATAGGAAGTTATCCAGAGAAAATCTATCATTTGGGTAGGGAGTTACAAAGGATCAGAGTCAGATGACCTACGATGGTTGTAATGACGACCACCTTTGCAGATATAGCTGTGGATAAAACAGATTATTTTATCAATAGTGAAAACAATTGGAGCCAACTCAGTTCGACTTAAGAACTAGGCAATAAGTCTAAAGACTCTGCTAATTGGGATATTACTATTGGGAACAGCATGCTTCCTAAGAAGAAATATCGTAATTATTGAAGAGGGTGTAATGATTTTCAGGGTCCACAGGTGTTTGGACCTTGGAAGAAAACTCGACGTCGCGAATAACGATTGAAGAAGTACATAGTTGTATATTAAATAGATGTAGTCCGTGAACACTCAGACGCAGAATATAAATATTGAAGTGCCTCCCAAGCTTTAGACATCATCAAGCAATGGACAAGAGACCTTAACAATATAATATTGTTTTCATGATTCTACCCTACTTTACCTATTCTACTTCGCTCCTAGTAGTCATAAACGAAACGAGTAAAGTCCAAGCCTTCCTAGACAATCTCCGTCTACAGAAATGAATCTCAATTGGCCTAGACAACTTTGAAGTCTATCAAGTTGTCTCAACCTAACAGTGTGTGAAGGAGTATGTAGAAGTATGTAAGAGTGTGTGAGAGTGAACTGGTACTTAGTATGGCCACTATTAACACTGAGAACAGTATCAACATGATTAATCATAGTGTTTAGAATCTGTCCAAGTTCATAGTCTGTAATTTGATTCCACTAATTGTGGATTTTAGAGATCATGTCCTTATTATTCTGAGGTCTTCGATGAAGCTTGCTAATGTATGATTTCATTAACTTTGAAATCATATTATTCCAGAATTGAAAGGGATGGGATAAAATGTGAGTTTGGTATCTCTTGGCCATTATAGTCTTACTCCAGCTAGCCTTATCCCAGATTACCAGTGGACACTTGCGGTAGCCAACAAAGCAGGCCTAAATCAGTATCGCCTTTTGATTTTTGAACTTGGAAAGCAGGCAAGATTTCACATGCTCTTTATCTACTCTTCAAGTTACCCACACCTGGCCAGAGGCTCCTCCAATCTTGAAGGCGCATTCATTTGTCAAGTGACCTTCAACTAATCTTAGGTACCTCATATCTTATAGGTATCAGTCCAGGAGCAGCGTACCTATACAAAGCCAAGCAAGGTATTAGTTCCGAGAAGAACAAACAAAACTATTAAAATACGTATCCCCTTGGTCTTTATATCCTTGTATACTGTTCTCTTTCAGAGTTGTCTGATAGTTATAGAGAAACATGCTACTGTACTTACTGTTTTGGGTAAGTCATCTGGTAAGAGAGAAATCATAGTAATGAAGAATACAATAATGGTGTATGTATATCAGAAGTCAAGTTTATAGCACATTTGGTTTCTATAAGTTGTGGCGGATTTTCCTCTATTGGTAGGAAATTGAGGAATATATTTTGTTATTAGGAATACCAGAATCCTATACCAAGGAACCACCGTAAGTAGGGTAACCCCACTTGGAATCAGAATCTCTGGTCTCCAACACCCCCCTCTGGCTCCCTTACGGGGCCCACACAACATCATATATATCAATCTCAGTTGCGTCCTGTGACTATATTACTACACAATTGAAGGTGTTAGAATAACACCATATACGTCATTGCTGTCAGTCCGACGAGATCCTGTTTGCAGGGTATATGAGAGGGGACCTTCAGCTAGGTCTGAGAAGTAGAACAGAGGGATTCTGTCAACTACTCAGAAGGTTACTTGGCTTCAAAGGCATGACACCATGGGCATGGGCTGTAAGTAACGAGACGATTTCGCACAAAGAGATGGTATCAAATGGTAAAGGATCTCTACTAGAGACCAATACATTTACATCTACCGAAAGAGTCTAGAAACTCCAAAAGACACTACCAAAGAAGCCAACAAACTTCACGGAGTGTTGCAACTGGGTTTTGGAACACGTTGTAACCATGGGATGATTCTCAATACTACAATGGTTACTGAAACCTACTACCCAGAGAGCAACCAAGAGTTGCCGACTGAGGGATTAATTACCAATCTGGTGGAATAGCTTCCTGCAAGTTAATAGGAAGTCTTCCAGAGAAAATCTATCAGTTGGGTATGGAGTTACAAAGGATCGGAGTTAGACAACCTACGATGCTTGTAATAACGACTACCTTTACAGATATAGCCGCGGATAAAACTGATCATTTTATCAATGGCGAAGACAATTCGAGCCAACTCAGTTCGACTTAAGAACTAGACCATGAGTCTAAAGACCCTGCTAATCGCGATATTACCATTGGGGACAGTACCTTTACTAAGAAGAAATATAGTAATTATCGAAGAGGGTGTGATGGTTTTCAGGGTCCACAGGTGTTCGCACCTTAGAAGAAAACTCGATGTTTCAAATTACGATTGAAGAAGTACATAGTTGTATGATAAATAGATGTAGTCCGTGAACACTCAGATGTGGAATATAAATATCGAAGTGCCTCCAAAGCTTTAGAC